TCATGTTTCATCCAATATAGGTAGTTTGAAATGTGTATAAGTAATTCAAGCAAGTAAAGATATGAATCATAAATAACGCAGGTCAGGGTATGTGAAAAATTTAAAAGAATCAAATTTTGAGAATTTTAAATGAACGCGTGGACTATATCTAATCAATTTAAGAGGCATATTAAGACATTTGAAAAGAAAATGCATTAAGTATCTAAATAGTTCACCATTAAATAGCTCACTATCAAATCAAAGGTATATGGAGTAACGAATAGTGATAGAGAAATTCGAAATAGTGGTTGAATTCAAAATTGAAATTAAGGCATGCCTAAATAAAGATGCGCCCCACGTTTTTCGTTTTAGATGTTGTAAAATATTTTAACTGAAATACAAAAGACCAAGAGAATGAAAGCAAACAGAGATCAGTAGATGCCGAAAAATTATTTTCTACTTTTTATTCCACATGAAAAACGTGGTCTTTAAATTTTTTTTTATACATTTTTTAATGTTGAATATATGAGACCATGAAAAAGGAGGACTAAAACATTGTGAAGTCGCGATACAAGTTCAATTTTTCTAAAATAGCAGACTGTCTTTTCGAAGAATTTAAAATTAAAATTTCCTTCTTAGTCCATAACTGGAGATAGATATGAATTATATCAATTTATATGCTGCATGTTGGTTTGAGCCGGTCTGTCTTCACACTCCAAACTTAAATTCCAAAATTATAACAGGATGTTGGGAACCGAGATGAAATACGGGATTAATAGGATTTGTGAGAATGAGATTCGAGGGAGCTCTGGTCAGTCTGGTGTAAAGGCAAGGCGGTGGCAGACAGAGCAGCCAACATGAAGCATCTCAATGCCCACTCAGTACTAAAGTACTCAATGCCTTGAGTACATTGAGCTGAAAAGAGTCCCTCAGAGTCCTGAGAGGCAAACTACATGAGCACTGGACTATAAGGTAGAACGTGGAAGACTTCTGTTGCAAACTCTCAGAAGGGAATTTTTATAGGCAATTAGCTTGGAGGAACCCAGACTATAACATAGGCTCTGCTTGAAGGAAGACCTGCATACTGAAAGTGTGCTGCCACCCGACTCAGAATTTACAGATTCAACGTGAGCGAGTCTGATCAATGTGCTACCTGCAACGCAACAGATATAATTGAGCAGTACCTGCTACATTGTCAACGTCTTGCACGGCCCGGACAAGATCGGGAAACTGTGTTTCAATGTACAATTTACTGTATGTTACCTTCTAGAAGAGAAAACAACAATGAAAATCTTTCTGAAAATCGGAAAATTTTAATTACATTCATTTTGACGTTTGCCAAGCTTGGTAAACTTTGTATATACTGTATGTATGCTACAATGTAAATGCAGCTTTTATTCATGCGTAATTTGTATTTTTTTTTTAATACAATTGGTTCCTCTAATTTAAAATCAAATGTCACACCAATCTTAAATGAGCCACGCCTGTTGCTTGTGAATATTTTCTCGTATCATGTCTAAATAATTTCCTATACTCTGTCACCCCGAGCCATCGAGCCCACTGACCTCTCATAAACGACAGTACTGCGACTATACCTTCCCAAGCCAAAAGGCACCAAACTACACAAGCTCTTAGGCCCAACGGTTATCCTCAAGGTTGATCTTTGGCTTTAAGTCCACGCTGCATGGGCACCGCGAAAATAAGAATAAGACGGGATTCGATGTCTCGGTTTTCTCATATCTCAAGAATTACATGTATGTACACAATAGGCTATGCATCAAAGACTGGGTAAAATTTTTAGAAAAGCTAGTCTATCACCTATATCAATACAGATAATTAAAAATTGAATTTTACTTTTTCATTTTCCTCGCCGTTCTCCCTTTTTTGAATTCCACATGACCCATATATGTCTAATAAGATGTTAGATCCAGGCAATATCTCGACACGACAGACATCACATTTAGGCACACAAATAGTTCCATGTATTTCATGCATTAAGGTGCTTGTACACGGGGATAGTGCAGACGGCTAGTAAATCTGGCTAGTGACGGTCGCTTGGTGACTATCCGGCTAGTAAGCCTGTACACACGTGGAGAGTAGAAGGTGACGCTATCTTCTCTTTCGCGCCCGCCAGTGCGTCATTAGAAGCCGTCGAGTGAGGTCTGCGAAGATGGTTAGTGAATCACCTTCAACAACTCGATTCTGTACGTCGTTTTTATACTATTTATTCCAGCCCTTGAAAATGCAGCGTCGGGAACAACTAAACCCTGACTAATAAGGTCTTCTTTCCGTTTCAAAATACTCGTTTCGCCCTTCATTTTGTTGGAGTAACCATCATGGAAAACATTATACTTTAATTCATATGTTTGGAATATTTCAAAAATAATTGAATATCGTCTGGAATCCACTTAGTTTGTTTCTTCTTAGAAACATTATCGTTCAAACAAGCCATGATTCACTTGACCCAAGATACTTCGCAAGAGCGGCACAGATGCTCTCACCATGGCTGCATCAGCGCTACTAGCCACTTCTCCAGCCAGTGTTGCCAGGTTTTTTCTTGGCGAGAATACCAGATTGCCTAGCTCAAAATACCAGAAATATACCAGAAATTCTATCGTTCAAAAACAGACTAATACCTCCAAGTTTAATAAACTATTCGTCAGAAACGTTGGTTAGAAATAAAATTATCTTATGTACTGTGCGTTATCTGGCTTGACGATAATTAGCCAAATTGAACACGTTATATTTTTTTCCCCTCTGTTTGGAACATTTTGACACTTTTCATGTGTTTGATTACATTGACACTTTTTCCTTTTTTTTATCACTGTCATTGTGGCACTTTTTCCTCTTCGCTCAACGTGAGTAAGCCACGGAAACAGGTCATCTTCATTTTGCTTATTTTCGTACATGCTTGCATATTGCATTAATCTAACATTTCGGGTGTGATCACTTGTTGCGGTTGAGCAGATAGCTTTTGGTCCGAATAAGGGACTCCAGTACCGTAGTTGAAATTTTATTCCGTTGCTTGTTTTTCACAGAGGTAACTTGTGAAAACACTTGCACCACGAATGCTTTGGGGACAGGTCAAAGTAGACAAGTGATGCAGTAGGCAGCCAGTTCCCTGAATGGATGATAATTGTCAAGATCAGTGAAATGTTGAATGGCACCCCAGAATTCAAGTGGCACTCCAATAAGTGGCACTCTAGAATTCAAAACCACAAACAAAAATGGTGGAGCTTGCGCCGCAGAGATCAGTTCGACATCCTCACTCGTCCTAGGTCATATCATCAGTTCATCACTGATCAGTAATCAATCGAGGATCATCACTCTCATGCTCATATTAATGTTAACAATTAAATTGGGGTTATTTTATCAAGCGGTAAACTTGCGGTTCCAAAAATGGCGGGAAACCTCTAGTCGCGCCACTCTGATGGTAATCTATATAATTCACGCCTACGTTGGAGGAAATTCAAACTTCAGAGGTGGAACTTAATGCAGTAAATTTGCAGTAAGTCAGAAAATACCAGAAAAATACCAGATTTATGCTAATATACCAGATCTAAAATGTTCATACCAGACACCTTCTGAAAATACCAGATTTGTGAAATCTGGTATAGAAATATACCATCTGGCAACGCTGTCTCCAGCCAAGATATCAACACATCGTTGTCTCTCTCGGCCGCGCCTCGGGCACTTGCCGGCGCATGCCCCTGAAGCGGCTGAACCCCTATACACGAGGCTAGTAGCGTGGACAGTTCATGCGCCGGATGAACTAGCGGCTAGTACTATCCCTGTGTACAGGCACCTATAGTCTTCAAACAAACAAAGCCCGTAACGAACTTTAGAAAAAAAATTAAATTCTAGATATACGTTTTTCTTTCTTATTCTTGTTAAATCCCTCTTCTTTCTTATTGTATGTTAAATGTGGGTTACAGTATTGCAGATTGCGAGATTCGAAATGACGAGGTCCTAGTACTGCACAGATGAATGTATCCAGGGTAGCCGGGCTAACCTGCAAGAAGATAATATAGAGGCGGTAAATGAGGGATTTTATTTGAACCCATTTCTTTAAATAATTACATTAATGCATTGCATTACAATCGATATCCTATGATAGACAATAGTTTTTTATACATGCATTCATGGCTTAGATAAAATTGATTAAACCTTATTCATGATACTTGATTGGTGTTGTCATAGTAGCCAAAAGTTACACCAATTTTAAATGTGTATGTAAAATACTGGGATGTTATCGAGCCATGGATAAATAATCTTCGTGGAATACACCGATAAAATTAGGTTTGATCCAATGAAAGCCGGTAAGAAATAATTATGATTATTTGATAAATATTTTCATAACGAAAAACTCTATCTTATGGTTCACGCACAATCTTATCTCTAAACCAAATCGACACTTCTGCGGTTAAGGTGGCTGACGACTTATAACCGAGATACGTTATCTTATCCACGACACTTCAACTTGAAGCACCGACCCTCATAGATGATATGCCGATGACAAAAATGTCATGAAGGCCGCCTAAATTACAATTATTGAAAATTATCAACGGATCAGAATCTTTGCACAGTTTCCTATTAACGTGAATTTTGTTATCAATTTAAAACAAGACGCTGCGTTTGAGGTAGACAAATCGAATGCAAGTAGAATGAAAGTTGTAACTATTTAATAATTACCACAATTACCGTAGGTATTAATGTGTCTAAGCGATGGATACAATTTCTCAAGGTATTATTATGTTGCGGGTAACCTCTTCTTAATTTGATTATTGAGATACATCTGTTGGCTTGAAAGCTGTCAACTTTTAATAACTCGCTGGTGATTCCTATATTTTTGACGGTAGACTGTATAGCTACTTTTAAACATTTAACTCATGCGTAACAACTGCGACGTAATTAAATAGAAATGAACGGTAAGTTATCAACATTTTTTTTTAAAGACAGAGGAGTCGGTAGAATTTTCGGGTACACGCTAAATTCTTATCGGAACGATACGAGTTCGTGCTAAGAGTTGGTCGATTGTCTTAAGTTGTATGAACTGATAATATTGTCAATCACTCTGTCTAGTGTCTTGTCTATTGTGTACCTTTCACTCCATGGCGTCAATCGAACAGACAATTCGGGGTTAATGACCAGTTGACCTGCGTGGACTTTGAACTTGCCCGTCACAGACGTACGTAGCAGGCCTACGCTTTCGGAGCGTAAGTGAGAGGCTGAGAGCTTGTGACTGACCGCCTGGCAGGCCGGTTTCTAAGTTACTGTACAACGCATTAACGCTTTGCTTTGTCAGTCGTACGAAGGCGCAATTTTTCCGTGTGATTTTATTAATTATTTATAGTAAATATTGTGTAAAATGGCAAATCTGCTAAGAAATATTGTTCCTTCAATTGCGCGTGCGAGCAAATCGCTCCAAATCCCGGCTTCAAGATGCTTTTCTACGCAATCGTAAGTTGATTACCTAATTAAGTAAGGATACTAGGCTAACTGCACAGCTGTCTGCACTTGTAAATTATATATCATTATATGTAACAAGAAAAAAATTTTTAGCCCCTAATGCTTGCTTGAAAAGTCATCGAAAGTTCACCTTGATGTGACGCTCTGACCCTTGTTTGGTTATATAATCTGAAATCTGAAGTATTTCAGGTAATAATTTTACAATTGAATCTTGTGTAGTCCAGCCCCTACCCTAGCCTTGGCAAGCTTGGCCTTTAGTTTAGGCTGTAGCCTGTAGGACAGTGTAGGTGTAGCCGTGTAGGCTATATATATATATAATGTATTGCACAAAAATATGCTCAAGCTGAAAATGTGTTCAAAACTGTGTCAGACAGTCAGGGTAATTTTTTTTTGAATTTTTAATTTCAATGTCAATGATAGTTCTGTTATTTAATCTTGGTACCCTAGGCCATAAGGATAACATTCATGGTAGAATGTAGTCTTGTAGATGCTACAGTGAATGAGTCATGAGTTATGATGAGTAATAAGCCAAGAATCTAAACATGTTGATGAATTGTTTAAACAAGAGACAATGTCAAATGAGAGATCTTTTGAAACTACCTAGTTCATTTTAAATTTCTTGATTTAGTTCAAAATTTTATTCAATGTCTAACTGTTGATGCTAGTGGTCTAGTGTCTAGTCTCTTGTAGGTACCTACTATCCAAGCCTTCCAAGCCCCAAGGTACTTTACAGTTTACTGGTCTACTTATATAGTTATTAGTTATTCTTATAAAGAATAAATAGAAAATGTTTTCAATATAGAAAATGTTTTACAATTATACTGGGAAAAATCATTAGGTGGTATATAAGTGATTTAAATTTAACCAAACCAAAAATCACTCATGTACTGATGTACAATATTGTGGAACTAAATTATAGTCTTAAATTAGTACTGTCATGCATTTATGACTATCTCACTCTGTTGTTTCCAAAAGCCAATTCATTATTAAATTACACTTATTACAGAACCTTGCTATGTGAGCGAAAGGAAGGAGCCCAGTCAGACTCCATGATGGATATTGGCTGTCGTTCAATTTTCAACTCCGACCATGACATATTTCGTACAAGCTGTAGAAAGTTCTGTCAAGAGGAAATTGTTCCACATCATGAAAAGTAAGTAATGGTTTCAAGACTTTTAATGCTCCTTGTATTATTTTTAAACATTTCCAGTTACGTTACATGTACCTTGGTAGATTTTCCTGTATATGATGAATAAAACTAAATACAACGTGCAAGAAAGGCTTTTTAGATTCCAAACTAAAGTATCGGTAAATTTGTAGTGCAGTAAACGTAAGTATTTGCTATACCGTAAAATGGGGTAACTTAGACCACTTTTTTTTTATAAATGATGCCATTTTTTTACTAGCTAAATTAAACTTGAATTGAAATGTGCAAAATACAGGTCTATACTCTAGCTTCACTCACCATAAATTGCTGGCTCCTGCCTCTCATAGTCTTTATGTAATTTCAAAAAAAGTGATGGTCTTTGTTACCCCAGCTGGGCCAGCTCTTGGGGTAACTTAGACCGGGTGGTAAAATCAAAAATCTTTCTATTGTGTTATGTGGCCTCAGTATTAGGCCTTTAATGCCCATTGACAAAATTTTTCTATGTCAAATAGTTTTTGAGTTGTGGGGGTTTTTGTTAAAAAAACGAAAAGTGGTCTAAGTTACCCCGCCGGTCTAAGTTACCCCATTTTACGGTAGTAGATAGTGTGTGTGAGCCTGTGAGGCCAGTGATGGTTTTATCAATCAACTCATATGGCCACGTATATAATATTAGTTCAAATTATTTGCACCTGTGCTCATGTTTTATTATAATCTATATTTAAATGACCTAAATTGTATAATATTTTTGTCAAGCTACTTAAAGGGTATTACACCACTAAAAGAAGCTTTAATATGTTCATATAAACCATTTACAAGCATCCTAGGCCTTACAGCATCAAAAATAATAATGTAATGCTATTCAATGATGCCTAATGTACCTTTATACATGTATACTACTGACTAAGCAAGGAAATTATTCTTCAATTCAGCATTAATTTGACAACAAAATTGTAATGTAATATTGTGTTGAGGTGGGAAGAGAATGGCCAAGTTTCAAGAGAGCTCTGGCTGAAAGCTGGCGAGGCAGGACTGCTGGGCACAGACACCCCTGCTGAGCATGGCGGTATTGGTGGCGACTTCAAAGATGCTGCCATCATCATGGAAGAGCTGTGAGGCTTTTGACAGTCCTGCCAAATTATGTTCATTGGTTTCATGACTGCAAAGCCTGATTGTTGATGCTTACCTAAACCTATATTATTAATATTATTATAAGAAAATATTTGCATTGTTAAACCCATATAAATTCTCCCATTTATCTCTTTTTACTGTTTAGTTGAATATCTTATTATTTTATATAATGATTTCTTCCATGAAATACTCTGTCATTGAGCAAGTAATTTCAACTTTAAATACATATTATTTTTGTTTAAATATTTCATAATCAAATACTAAGATGTATTCATTAGCGTATTCCATATAGTACTCCTAGTTGTTTGATACTGGTATTTTGAGCTTAATATTTGACTCTCATTAATAGTCATACCTACTGTGTAATGATTGAAACCTACTGTGTGATGATGAACTTCTGCCTCCAGAATGTATGTGAACTGCTCTGGGCCAGGCTTCCCTCTGCACTCCCAGATCGTCATGCCTTACATCACACATTATGGCACCACAGATCAAATAGAGAAGTTTATTCCTGACATGGTGGCCGGTAAAAAAATTGGTGCTATCGCCATGACGGAACCTGGGGCAGGAAGGTCTGTAACAATACTGGTAGGAAAGTCCTATCAATAGTTTCTTTAATTATAAATATGAGCTATGTATTCTTGTAAATTCATGTAATGCCCAACAGTAGGTATTAATATTATTATTTCATGAGATTTTAAACCTCTATTAATTAATAATGTGAATAAACTTTTTAGCTCATTTTCTCAATTATGGAAAAAAATATAACACAGTACTCACTGCAGTGAGTGACAGAGAGCGCATTTTCTCGTCGACGAAAACTTGAGGTCACGGACGGACGGACGGACAGACGGCAGACAGACAGACAGACGGACATGGCAAGCACAATAGTGCATTTTTTTCCATAAGTGAGAAAATGAGCTAAAAAGGCGCTATTGTGCTCGTCATGTCCGTCTGTCCGTGACGTCACATTTTCATTGACGAGAAAATGCGCTCTCTATCACTCACTGCAGTGAGTACTGAGTTGTACTTTTTTAAGCTTTTACTTCACATTTGCATCCAGCTATAAATGAATCACAAAAAACTCCTCAAAACCTATGTGACGGTTTCCCAGTTGGTAACTTGGAGAGACATTCCTTTAAAAAACCGCGATGTGTGAAATAGGAAACTGACTCATGGCATCGCCAGTTCATTTCTTAGATCTGCCTTGTATATGCAGCAATTTCTATTTTAATTATTCCTAATCTGTTCAGTTTTTGTGTTCTAATTCTGAGTTACAATAATTTTTAACTACAAAGTAAAATGCAATTGCTGAATTAAGTGTCTGAGTTATGCAATCATTGCATCAACTGTTTTTTTACAGCGACCTGCAAGGTGTTGCAACGAACGCCCGGCGGGACGGTGACGACTGGATCTTGAACGGATCTAAGACGTTCATCACGAACGGCTACATGGCCGACGTTGTCATCGTTGTGGCAGTTACCAAACCTGAGGCCAAGTCTCGAGCTCATGGAATATCCTTGTTCCTTGTGGAGGAGGGCATGAAAGGATTTAATAAAGGCAGGAAACTCAAGAAGATGGGAATGAAAGCCCAGGTGTGGATATGCTAATTTTTTTATTTAAATAAGTTTGTTATGAAATGAATTTTGAGCCTCTGCATGAAGGGAAAAATTCAGTACGTTCTGTGCTTATTATTAGAATTTGTTTATGAAGGTTATGATTTGTGAACTAATTAATCCAAGATGTATTACATAGATTGAACTTTCGTTGTTCGGTAGCTTCTAATCAGGAGTTTCTGCCTTTTTCGAGACTGAATAAGTTTCATGCGTACTCAGTCATATTAGTAGCATATTGTGATGTGTAACCAACTAATTTACAGAATATTAGATCACTTTCAAATTATCCCGTGAGTGTATTTTGAACCCTATGTCCAATAGAAAACTCTTACATATGCTAAATGCTAATAGTTTTATTCAAGGAAGATCCCTTATTTCAGGACACGGCCGAGCTCTTCTTCGAGGACGTGCGCCTGCCAGCGACGGCGCTGCTGGGCAAAGAAAACCATGGCTTCTACGGGCTCATGCAAGAGCTGCCTCAGGTACCTAGAACCGAGTGCCAACTTGACCTAAACTTAGACCCAACGTGCGAAGCACTAAACTGCATGGCTGAACGTACTTCTTTTATTAGCACCCACTTCTTTCATCAGCACCCACTTCTTTCATCAGCACACACTTCTTTCATCTGAATGTGATTCTCTCACCAGCGCCTTTAGTTTAACAACTCAACTCCAGGGATCAAAACATAAGCATGTAATGCTTTGTTTTACTTTAAGCTATCACTCATTTTTGGTCAATATAATTAAGACCATGTATGATATAACAGGAAGTGTTTCGAGGATGTTTCCATTCTTATTATAATTAACACTCCATTTCACTTGCGCAGGAACGTCTTCTCATTGGTGTGATGTCAACAGCCAACTGCGAGTGGCAGTTTGAAACAACGCGCGAATATGTGAAGCAGCGCAAGGCTTTTGGGAAAACCCTTTCTAATTTACAAGTAATTGCTTTACTGCCCACCTTAAAATAGATACTAATGTGAGCGTATTCAGCCATAGAGCTGCTGGTTCAGCTTTTTTTTACCACTAATAATATTGTTTGAGGTCAAGTCATCTGGTTGTTCACTTCTAAGAACTGGCTATAATAATTAGCTGTAGCAAGATATTTTGTAACTTTGATTATAAATATATCTAATCCGTAATATTGCCATGAGCTTTAATCGAGTTGATGCAAATGTAATGGTGTCCCGGCGTTTTTTCTTGAAATCCACAAATTGTTGACACTATCCTATGAACTGTATGAAGAGAACTTTTACCCATATCCCCAGTGGAACTTTCTTCCTATGGTATAATGCAGTGTTGGAATAATTACTCTTCTTCCGCTTGGAATAATACTTACTTAATAGTCACCTCATCTCTGCAGTTTCAATAGATGAAAAGGTCAGAAGTTTGTTTCTATTTCGTTCCGGCCAGGCTTTGGCAATAATTGTTTACAACATTTCGAGGTCGGTTCTTTTCCTGTAGCTTATTTTGTATGATTAAATCAAAATTTCACTTTACGGTTATTCGTCACGGTTTCTTGTTACATGAACTTCAGCATTTTTAGCGTATTTTCTCATTTATGAAAAGAAGGCGCTATTGTGCTCGTCATGTCCGTCCGTCCGTGACTTCATGGACGGACGGACGAGAAAATGCGCTCTCTGTCACTCAATGCAGTGAGTACTGATCTTATTTTTTTTTACTTAGTCTCGCGACAGGTGCATCTGCTATTGGTTTGCCTGTACCAGGTTTGTACGATAATGAATAAGCCCAATCAGAAATTTTCAGAAGCATGCATTGTATTTTTAATGTTTGGTGCTTTTGAGAAAATTTTCCCTCGTCATTGATTATCGTCATTGATTCGTAATCCGTTACAATTCGTCATAAATTCGTAATCCGTTACAATTTTTGCTCTTCGTTCAATGCTGAAGAGCAGCCTCGGCTATTGTGCCTTGTATTCCTCGGGTTTCACTTCACAGACAGACGAGTGAATGAGAACTTGCTGGTGCCGCGCACCAACACCTATCAGGATTGATTAAACAATTCACATAATGACGCAAAAACGAGCATCTTATAGAGATGAAAAGAATTGTTGTTCTTGTTATAGATATAACGTGAACGGGTAAACATGGTACTATCTGACATCGGGGAGTGGTTATGTAGGCGGGATTCCTCGTATATTTCTGCTCATTCTTCGTGTGCTAGTGACACTTTTATTGTTTGACTGAGTCTTCCTGTACGATGGCTTCGTTTATATTGCATTGTAGCGGTCATTTTTTAGATATTTGCACGACATATTTCCTGCTAGCTTCAGCGGCCTGGCTATTTGAGACCTACTATCAGCTGTTGTTGATTAATCGTTTCCGATTGAATAAATTAGTGACTCCGACATACCTCGCCTTGTTGGCGACTTTTATCTTGCAACCGCTGCAAGATAACTTCACCACTGATACGACAGCAAACACTGTGTCCATTGTACTACTATTGAGGTTTTGCATGTGACTGAAGATGTTCTTCCAGTGTAACTCGTTTTTCAGTGCAAGCGTTCGTTCCTTGATGGTTTGATGTATCTAGTAAGTCTCCTTAACAATTTTGCTTTTATTCTGTTTTTTCTGCTTTCCGAACATCATCTTGCTGTGCCGTCATCTCGTAATTCTCTCTCAATGTTTGACTTTCCGTCATCAACTCATTCACTTCTGTTCGTCATCAACTCTGTCACAACTTTCATACATTTTTTAAGTTCTTCGATTCTTCTCTTACACTAAGCAATAAAGTTCTTGGTTATTGTGATGCAGACAATACAGCACAAGCTAGCAGAGCTGAAGACGAAGATATCCGTCACGCGAGCGTTCACTGACCAATGCATCGAGCTCCACAACAAGGGCAAGCTCGACGGTGCCATGGCCTCCATGAACAAATATTGGTGAGTTTCACTCTCCTGAAAACGATCATTAGTATCTTACTTGACTAAGTCTCATGTTGCATCTGTCAGACAAGTGAACGAAATCTTGTACGCGCGCACGCTAACACAATCGTGATTGCTTGAAAAAATTGATTACCTACGAAATCAGTTGAAGTAAGATGTCCTTGTACTCTCTTATTACTTCACACAAATAATAGGATTATTCCACATATCTTCCCAAATAATGTGAGATCACACTATAATTATTTACCATTTGCCAGGTCTTCGGATATGCAGAACCAAGTGGCGTACGACTGCGTGCAGATGCACGGAGGCTGGGGATATATGAGCGAGTATCCCATCAGCAAGGCGTACGTGGATGCCAGAGTCCAGTCGATCTACGGCGGTGCAAACGAGATTATGAAAGAACTCATTGCCAGGACCATAGTCGCTTAACCTTCCATTGCTCATCTCAACCTCCACGATGTAAATTCCTTTCTTAAATGGAAATGGTCAAGATTAACATCGTTGCCAATCGGGTGACCAAATTTTTTCTCGTCCTGTAACTGTACGAGAAGGGCTACAATTTGGCCCATGTACGTAGCCTTGTAGGCAAAACTAATTCCATGCGCACATTAAGGAACAAAAATAAGATGGAAGCTATTCATCACTTATTTTGAACCTAGTAAGGATGACCGACCTCACTTGGTCACATCATTAGTGGAAAGTGGTAATTTAAGCTTCGTGTACAGAATAGAGTAGAAATTGTTTACTTGATATTTGCGTCACATATTAATCCAGATATTTTCTATAAATGAGCTCTATAACAAGGTTTTAAGCTCGACCATCGGTGTGACATATTTTTGCTATGACTTCTCTTGCAGGAATATAGCGCGTGTCATTACTGCCCCATGAGAAATCATTTGTATTCTCTTTTTCTTAGTTATCGTGAACCGGTAAAACCATTCACTAGAGACGTCACAAGTCGGTTATCTGTTTGTGAATAATGGGGACTCGAGAAATCAACCATGCGAGTTTTTAATTTTCGTAAGTTCAGATCATCAGTGGAATAGAATGACGGGGTACGCGTGATGCAGTGCCACTAATCATCCATGCGATCACTGCATGCATGCTCATGTCTCTTCAATAATTATTCCACCTCGATCAACTTGCGAACATACTGCAATGCAATCATTAGCACCACATGTGATTGGCCTGCCATCTGGATCGCAACTGAAGTGAAGACCAGGCAGTAAAAGCAGTTGATGGAGATACGGGTTAAGCTTTGGAAGCACTTTGGTTGTCACAGGTAAGGTCTTACATCCCTTTGTTATGGAATCTTCAAAGGGTTCATAGAACTGCCTAAAGTATTTATCGAATTGATTAAAAAGTATTTGTCGATCTGAAATTCGCCATGAAAGTATTAATAGATCTTCCGCTTACATGGATAGATTTACCTATTCCTCTCGGTCACAAAAGTTTTTATTTATTTAAAGGGTGTATATGAAAGTGGTTTTATTTTTTATTGTGTTCGTGTCATGTAACTAATGATCATCGTGAGTGAAAATTTTGGTGCTTGTTATCCGTTACGAAGCAAAGTGCATCCCATTTACCTCTGCTACCCCAAAAACATGGTGCTGCTTTTCAGGGTTTTGATTTTAACCCAAAAATGTCAGTATTTTTTAGGCTTTTTGTTTTTTTCCCAATGGTAGTTTTGGACTGTTAGCCAAGTTGTGAGCAAAGAGCACTTTGTATTCACCCAGTTACTATAATCTATTTCGTCCGGGATTGGGTTAAATAAAGCAACAATTTATTAACGAAACTACCTGGAGATCTGCGATGTTGAGAAGATTGACGACTTTATCGATTTTTTCACTCCTTATCAGCTGCGACTAATTTTGCTGAATTGTTTCGCTTTTACTCGAAAAACGATTGATTTGTGAGGCTGATTGATTTCATTCTAATTCATTTCTTCAGTTGTTTGATAATCATGGTAGAACTAGTATAAGATTGACTCGTGAGAAGCTTATTTTTTCAAATGTAGTTCGTTGTTCGCCTGTGACGTCATTGATCTCCGTTACGACACGAGCGTTAAAACCAATCACCGAAATGCGATCAAACCAGTCAACCAATCCGTCATGGGAATGACGGGATTGTTTACGTTTCTCGATCTACGTGACGTAACAAGAAAGCTGAACTGAAAGGCGGAAATCCTCGTGGGTCAACCTTATATAGTTGAACCATGTTTAGAAATGACCTGATTTGGAATCGGTTTTTAATGAGTATATTACAATTAATTCGGCGACTTTTGATTTAAAATCCTTTTGCAGCAATCTGATGCAGTAGATGATTCTGAAATTACTTAATTAAAAATGTGATGTTAATTAGTAATAACAATTGCATTGAACTAGCATCGACTTACGCTAGGTCAACCCTGGCCCAGTGGTTACAGGACTGAGTACCAAAATTGGCGCAGAGTGGCGCGGGTTCGATCCCAGCTCTGTGCGACAGTTTGTGGTCAATCGGCGAGAACATGGTTGAACTAGTATAAGATTGACCCATAAGCTCATTTTTGCGGATATAGTGTGTTGTGTGTGTGCTGTGACGTCACTGAGATCATTACGTTACAGGCATAACCCATCACCGAGAGGCGATCAAACCAGCCAATCAATCCATCATGGAAATGACAGGATTGTTTACGTTTCTCTATCTCGGGAACGTAACGAAAGAAAGCTGAACTGAAAGACGGAAATCCTCGTGGGTCAACCTTACATACGTTCAACCATGCGGCGAGGAGGCCGGGCGGTTCAGTAGAGCAGAATTGTAGCTGTGAGTTAACATAACATAGTGATGTCGGCGCTGAAGTGTAGGCCTGATGTGGCCTGTCGCCAATTCTTTTCCTTTTCGTGCCTTGTTCATAGATCTAAACTCGTGTCATTTGACCGGATCTTTTCATGACTGGCGATAGTTTGAAGTAGCTACTAGACTTCCACCGGGTTCGATAA